GGTTTTATTTTGTCATGTTTCATTTTATTGATTATGATTTTGTTTCACATAATAGTCTGTTACTTTAAAATCTGTTTTACTTAATATTGATTTTATTATGAATTTGGGGCTTTTGTTGTATTCAGTCATTCACTTCATCAGTCACAGTGGACTCTTGCAAAGACAGTTCCATAAAGTGAAGGTAATATATTTAACAGTATCAAACATAAAGGAGCTCTGGTGGCCTAGTGGGTAAAGAGTTGTGCTGCCTACCAAAAGTCATTCAGTTGAATCTACCAGCTGCTCTGGGGGGAAAAAGATGGGCATTCTCATTCCATGTGATTTTTAGTGCCTCTGAAAACTTGCTGGAGGGTTAGCTATGAGTGGCTGATGACTGGAAGGCACACAACACTGTCAAACCAGGCAATATACTTATTTGAAAATGAAGTGTTTATAAAATAGTACAGATGGAGTGCTTCAAGGGAAGCTAGGAGAGTAACACTGACAAATTCTGCTTTGGTAATAAGATTGTAAATGTGGCACACAACGTGACTGAGTGTCTCCTGAAGTTGACAGGGAAACAGAAAAGACAGAGTTCAAAGCACGCTGCTGAGACACAGGAAAACCAGCACTGCAGAGGGTGCGGTGCTGCTGAGCCTGTCTGCTCTAGCAGGGTGGCGGGCCCCTGGAGCCGTGGGCGCCTGTGGTGGTGGGTACCAGGGTGGAAGTAGGTCCCGGGGCATTAGAGTTCCAAGTGGTGGGTCTCTGTGGTGCTGGGTCCCTGTTGGAGTGCCTACGTAGTATACTCTAGAATGTCTCTATGGTGCAGGTGGGAGACTAGAAGAGGGAAGGCAGGTGTGCACCCAGCTCTTTCTTCTTCAGGCCAGGGCTTCCCCACTCTTGTGGGTGGCCTGTGCTAGTGTCACTATGTACAAGTGTGGAGGTGGAATGGGGTAACACGGAGCATCCACAAATCTGTGATGGCAACTTCTGACTATGGTCTTCATCTCTTCTACACAATGCTGGGGAGTGTGGGGGATAGAGATGCAAATGTGGTGCTGGTTTCACACCAAGTGGATTATACCACTTGCTGCTAACGCAGATGGATAGAACCTAGGAAGTTTAGGATGGTGCGACATCTGGCTGGGCCATGCTCTTCAGTGCCTTGGCAGGTCTATAAGGAAAATACTTGTCCTCCATCTGTGACCTGATGTAGTTTTCCTGTCTTGCGATGTGTTCTAAATTCTAAACTCTGTGCTTGAGACTACTGTCCTCTTTGGGAGTGTAATCTACTTCTTATCAAGGTAGATTAGGGCAGTGCCTGAGTCCTCTCCTAATTAGACAGTAAGTCAAGTCACTGTCCTTATCCTAGTCTGCACCTTGCTTTTACAAAGTTACACTCTTGTTTGACATCTCTTATGTCTGGTGAAAGGAGAGCTGAGCAGAGGGAGATCTGACTAGACCACGGGTGTAGGCCTGCTGTGAGTTGAACAGATACCATAGTAATGTGGTATCTGTTTATCTTGTACTTTAATTTTATTCAGTAATTTACTTCTTTAGTACTTTTTTTCTTAAAATATCTATTTTAATACATTAGTTATTCTATTTAATAAATTCTGCTGAAGATTATCCAGAAATGACTGAAGAGTATATCAACAGAGAACTAACAGAAATACAAGCTGTGTTGAGAAGATGTCATGACACTAGAGACATTATCGCCAATGTCAGATGGATCTTGGCAGAAAGCAGAGAGTACCGAATAATGTCTATGTGTTCCATTGACTATGCAAAAGGCATTTGTGTGATTCACAACAAATTGTGGCTGACTCTGAGAAGCATGGAAAATCCCAGAACACTTGATTGCGCTTATGTAAAAGACTATACTTGGATCAAGCAGCAGTCTTCAGAACAATAAGGAAACGCAACATGGTTCAAAATCAGGAAAGGAGTACGCCTGGGATGTGTCCTGTCTACATACCTTTTCAATTTCTATGAGGAACAGATCATTCAAGAGGCTGGACCTTATGAGGAGGAATGTGACATCAGTATCAGAGGGACTCATCAACAACCTATGTTTGGCTATGGAGATGATACAACGTTGCTTGCTGAAACGGAGAACCTTCAGGGTTTGCTGCACAAGGTTAAGGACTGCAGTCTTCAAAATGGATTGAAGCTTGACATCTAGAAGACAAAGATTCTCACCACTGGACCAATTGGCAACACCATGATAGATGAAGAGACTGAGATTGTTAACAATTTCAGTTTGCTCAGCTCCATAATCAACACTCTTGGCACCAGGAGAAATCAAAAGTCGAATTGCACCAGGAAAATATGCAGTCAGGGACCTCTCCAGAGTACTGAGAAGCAAGGATGTTAGTTTAGAGACTAAGCTGCACCTGATTCAGACCACGCTCTTCACAATTACTTGCTGTGCATCAGACAGCTGGACAATGGCTCCAGATGACAAAATTGATGCCTTTGAAAGGTGGTTCTGGGGAAGAGTATTGAACACATGGTGGACTGCTAAGAGAACAAACAGGCCTGTCTTAGAGAGGGTAAAACCAAATTCTTCCTCAGAGGCTAAGATTTTTAAGCTCTGTTTCACCTACTTTGGGCACATGGCCAAGACAGACTAGTTCTTTGAGAAGGACATCATGCTCAGAAGGTTGGAGGGAGAGCTCCACAGAAGAGGAAGACCCCAGATGAGATGGATTGATAAGAGTAACTGGGGTAACAGGGGTTACTGTGTTGGAATGAAGGAGACCGGCTCAGAACAGGGAGACTATGAACACAGAAGAACAATTTTTTTTTTAAATTTTATTTACTGCTTAATTTAGTTTAAGTTCTTTTAAGAAATTTATACATTTAATCAATACTGGTCAGAGTGGACTTTTGCAATTGTTATTTCATTACGCTGGAATTATTTAAAGCTCAAGATCTTCACTGAATCACGAAAATATGTGAAATGTGACAATCTCGCTACAATAAATAATAAATGATAAAAACTGTGAAATGTTTTTATAAAATCTTATAGATCAATTAACTTCACTACAAACCAGGGAACAAAATTATAACCAGTTTTTCATTTTTAAATATTTAAAATCTGGGATTCAGGTAGATTTAGGTGGTTGTGGTTTTTTTTTTAACATGATCTATCAATCCTTTCAGAATACAGTTGCTGTGTACCACTGAATCAGAACTGACCCATAGTTGACCCTTTCATGAGTTTTTAGAGGTAGGAAATCACACAGGAGGAGACTGCCCATCTTTCTTCCACAGATCAGCTGGTGGATTTGAAATGCACGTCTTAGCCTTACCATTAAGCACCAGAGCTCGCTTTTAGAGATTCTTAATTTCTCAGTTGTGATGCAATCTCACTGCAGTACATCATCAAGCTGAGCCTGTTTGGCCCCTCCCCTCACCAGGGGTATTGAGGGTGCGGTTAAGAACATACTAGAACATGTACCTACAGCTGGGTACCATAGCATGAACAAGAGTCCTTTGTCTCTGAGCTAGGTATCTCCTCTCTCTCAGCTGCATCTGTGTACACTTGAATTCCTAGTCACTGCCTCGCAGCAGATGAGAGCATGGACCTACAACTGTGTGAGGTGCTGTGAGTAACAGTCCTTGTCTCTGACTTAGAAGTCTCCTCGAAGGCCCTGTGCAAGCCCAAGTAAGGCAAAACCTCAGACTTCTTGACAATTATCACAGGTATGTGTGTAACGGCTATTTTGAGAGATTTGATTATGCCAAAAAAGAATGCTAACTCAGTGTCTCTTCAAGTCTGGACAGGTTTACATGTGAAAGTGCGAGGAGTAGACTTGGGAGACTAGAGTTTCTCTAAAAAAGTGGGAGAGAAATGTGAACGCTCAAGGAGATGCTGGGCTTGACACCGAAGTGAGATGGCTGGCAGGGAATGTAATGGGGAGACGGGGAAGAATGGTCAAGCGCCAGCAGGGACAGAGACATCCAGAAAAGACTTCAGACACTAATAACGATGAGATTTTATTGAGTAATTTCCCACGGGCTCAAACAGCAACTCTCTCCTTGTCTTTCACAGTTTGAAGGCCACACAAATAAGAAGGCACTTACTTTTCATAAAGTAGATTGGTGTGAAGAAACTTGCAGGAGCAGAGTTCTATCTCTGGGCAGATGGTCAGTTGTGGGCAGAGAAAACCATGGAAGTATGAACGTCTATAAACGGCCACATATTTCTCAGAAATCCCCACTCCTCAGGTGGTGGATTCAATGTGTCTTTCTTGCTAAGCATGTCTTTAAATTACGCTGAGGTGCCTGCACTGACGGACCTGAGTGTTTGATTAGTCTCAAAGCAGAGCCTGAATGTCATCACTGAGGTTCAAGTGCGGCAGGCCCTCCTCCGGGGAATCTGGACTGAAAAAGGCTTAGTACTTTCCCTGAAAATGCGACGTCAAGAATTTCTCTAAAGGCTTGTGGTTTCTAGAGTCTAAGCCAATGGCAATCACTTCTGAGCTGTTGCGTCTGCTGCAGCTTCAGGTATGTCTTGGGGTGTATGACGTGCCTTTTGGGGCTGGGCTCCATTTGGCGACTGCACCCGGGCCACTCCCCTTTTGTTGTCAGGTGGAGAAGAGCCTTGGCCATGCAATCCTGACCCAACAGGTTTGGCTGGGAGTCTGTCAGTTTCCACGGTGCTGGGGCCGGGAAGGCGTCTGATTATCTGAGAGCACCTTCCCCACAGTCAACTGTGTTTGCAAGAGATTCAAACATGTCGCCGATGCAGGACAGTTCCCTCCTCTCTGCACAGCTAGTGTGGGCTGGATCACCATGACAGCTGGTGCCTGGCTGGTACCACCTTGGGAGACACCACAAGGAACAAAAAGTGTGTGGGGAAGAAGGAGAACAGGTAGAATAGTTTGGTTACCACTGAAAGGCTGAGAGGGTGGGCAGTGATGGGATGTAGCTAGAACAGTGGGCAGGTGGCTTTGGTCAAGCTGAAGCATCACAGGAGGCCTCTGAGTCGAGCTGTCTATCAAGAAATTCACTGGTGCACTTGTGCTCTGCCCCGAGTTCCGAGCTCTTCGATTCTGAAACCATATCTGAACAGGAAAAGCACAGAGAGGAAAGATATGATCATAGGAGACACCAGAGAGCACAGCTCTACACTGGTTCTTGTCACAAAACTATCTCCTCCTTTTGGTTTACGATCAAGTATAAAGTCTACATCGTTATCTTCATCTAGAAATATGCCTGTTGGTTTCCACACATAAGCACATGCATAGACAATCTGAGTCTTTAAAAAAAGGCACAAATTAAGAGCAGCTCTTTCATATCAGCTAGCAGTGGGCCCCATGTGCATTTGCTGGTAAACGGAATTTCAGGTCTTCTTATCTGTCCAGCATTTCTCTGCCCCACTCCCACAGCTGTTTTTCTGCAATACCCACCATTCAGTGTTGGGACAAAACATTGGAGCTCCATTTGCTTCCTCCTCCAGGATTCTCCACATCCCCATTTGCACTCATTCCTCAAAATCCTTCCCGACTCGCAGTTCACTGGAAGTCGCTCACTCTTTCCCATGCCATTCTCCCACAGTCCCTGAGATGAACCCCAGCCCGTGTGTTTAGTGTGCACTCACAGGCATCTGGAACATTGGGGTCACCTGTGTGGCTGTAGGTGCTGTCCAGTTGTCTCTGACTCACAGTGCCCAGTCCTGCTGGGTGCTCAGTCTCTGCTATGCGGGAGCCCCACGCCACAGCCACTGGGTCAGCCCACTTCATCGAGGCTCTTCTATTTTCTCACCAACCCTCTACTGGACTAAGCACAATGTCTTACTCCTGAGAACATGACCACAGTCTTGGATCCACATTCGTAAGGAGTACTCCGGTGGCACTTAGATTTGTTTGTTCTTTTGGTGAGTGGAGGCCTTAGCTGACTTGAAGGTATGTAAGCCAGAATCCCACTTTTCAACACTTGTTCTCTTGACTGACTAACCTCTTTGCCAGAGTTTGCACATAAGTTTATTCACATTTGCACAGGAGGTAGTAAAAGATTCAAACTACACATAGGAGTCGTGCGAGTTTCTTTGTCATAAAAACCATGACCTGCTTCATTATACACCCACATTCAACGAACACTCTTGAATGTCACCAAAATTTAGATCAAGGACTCTCGGGGGGCCGATTACCCCCACCCCCATCTCCACCCCAGATCTTTGGTGGTACGTGTAGACAGTTGTGATTATCTCAACGACGGATACCGGGTAATGGGGCTGAACTCTGCTGGAATTTAGTAAAAAAAAACCAATGATGCTAACAAACATCCTGCCAGTGTCAAAGACACACAGAGACCCTCAAATGGCCACTCTGCCATGGTCGAGAAGCCTGATCCACAGTGTGCCCTCAAAGTGGGTTTCACCTCTCCCAGTTTTGCATACTTTCCCTATGATTTCTTCTAAATATCAAGAGCCTGTGGTAATTCTATTGGAAACAGCTTCCTTATGCAGGTCTGCATCCAGATCACTGATACCCCACAGCAGTGCAAATCCACCTAGCAGAACGTCAGGGGCTAATCCCTGACACCCGAGTGGGAGAAGGTGCCCAGGAACACGCACCTGAATCCGGGATTCCGGGAGGCCTGTGCGCTGAGCTAGCTCCTCCCTCGCTGCGATACCTGGGAACCGGTTCTTCTCAAAGGCTTCCACCAGAAGAATGGTTTGAGATCTTGTGATGGATGTCCGTTTTCGTCTCGCTGGTTTGGGGAAATTTTCTAAAGGGGAAAAAAAAGAATAAAAGGAACCTTTGAGACCACTCTTCACATCCAAACATCACAAAGTTTTGACGATCACTCTGACCAACTCTAGTGTGCCCTGAGAAATGTGTCTGGACGTCTTACCCCTGGAATGAACCCCAAGGTGACAGCACGGTGAATGGTGCATTTTGTAAGAGCAGCACCACAGTACGATGCCTTTCTCACTAGTAAAGTACTGGCACGGCTCCACCAGCAGGCCTGTACCTCTCCACCACCACAGAGCCCACAAGCCTGATGCACATCACAGTCCTCTCTGCTCCCAAGAGCACAGGCCGGACTGCTGGCTTCTCACTCACCCTGAGACCAAGGCTGAGGATACTCTTGGCCCTGGCTTGGCTCTTCTTTTAAGGCACGTCCGGAGGACAAGCGACTCTTCCTCAGAAGTCTTGTTCTATGGTTTTGAAACCAAGTCTAAATGGGGGAAAAGAACAAAAGCCAAACCAAAAAAAATATTACAATGAACTAGGACAGTACCTGATCTGTATTCCACTCAAGTGACCATTTCATTTTTTTTTGCCTCTTCATGTTATTTGCTGCCAAGAACATCTTTAAAGTTCTGAAGAGCAAGGGTACCACTTTAAGATCAAGCTGTACCTGACTCAATTTATATCATTTAATTGCTTCCTATGCATTTAAGAGTTGGACAATGAGTAAGGAAGACTGAAGAAGTGATGTCTGTGAACTGTGGTGTTTAGCAAGTACTGAACATACCATGGACTGCCCGATCTTAGAAGCAGTAGTACAACCAGGGTGCTCTGCAGAAGCAATGGTGATCAGACCTGGTCTCACATACAGGAAGGTTAAGATCCTGCAAAAGGACAGTATGCTTGGGAAAGAAAGCCAATGGAAGAGAGAAGACTGTCACCAAGATGGATGGAGCTGACGCACAGTAGACTGTGAGGGTGGTGCACAGGCAGGCATGGCGTGCTTGTACTGCAGACAGACTCACAAGGTGTTGAAGCTGATTCCGCAGCACTTAACAACAACCATAACATGTTATCTTGACTAAATTACTCTGACAGAGTAACTATTTCTCCAAAAGCAATGTTACTGGGTTTTGTTGTCTAATTCTCCTTTGCTCCTCTTTCGGGGCATCTAATAGCGATCGTGCACTCTTCCATTATTCGGAGAGTTTTGAAAGGCCTGTTACTTTAGATGTGGTTGGCCAGTTCTGCTTCTTAGTCTGTCAGCTCTTCAATGGCAATAAATAAGATCCCAGGAACTGATGGGATACCAGTTGAGCTGTTTCAGAAAGCAGATGCAACCCTTGACAGTCTCACCACTGGCATCAACAAATAAGGAAGACAGCTACTGGGTCAAGTGACGGGAAGAGATTCACATTTGTTCTCATTCCAAAAAAAGTTAATCCAACAGTGTGGCATTACTGAAAGTTAAGGAGCTAAACATAAAATTTCAAAGGGCAGTTCGGGAAGATAAGCAAAATATTATAATGTAATGTGTGAAGAGCAGCTGGAGTCAGAAAATCAAGAGAAGAACTTGTTCAGCATTTCTTTAAACTGAAGGAGATAAAGAACAAATTCAAGCCCTCAGTGGCAATAGTTAGGAATGATCCAGGAAGCATCAAAAGCAGATAAGGGGAGTACACAGAGTCACTGAACCAAAAAGACTTGGCTGATACAGAAAGATTTCATGAAACAACATATGATCAAGAGGCAATAGTGAAGGGAGTTCTGATGGCCTAGTGGCAAGAAGCTGCGCTGCAATCTCAAAGATGCACAGTTCGAATCCACCAGATGCTCCGCTGAAAAAGGAGGGGTAATCTCCTCCTGTGCCAGTCGGATTTGACTCAGCAGCACACAGCAAGGGAACAAAAGAAAAAATAATTAAAAAATAAATAAATATTTAAAACAGTGCAACAGTGAATGAATGAAAACCCAAAATCTCTGTAAATGGTCATTAAAATGAATAAAATTTAATAATAATAAAAATAAATAAATAAATATTTTATTTTAATTTTTTTAAAAAAATTTTTAAAGAGGCAATGGTGATGAAGGAAGAAGTTCAAACTGCTCTGAAGAATCTGGCAAAAAAAAAGAAGGCCACAAGAATTGATGGAATACCAACTGACATGTTTCAACAAACAGATGCTGCCTTGGACATGTTCACCATGTTGTGTCAAGAAATCTGGAGGACAACTACTTTGCCAACTGACTGAAAGAGATCCATATGGAGACCCATTCCAAAAAAGGTGATCCAACAGAGTGTGGAAATGTTAGGACGATTTCACTATATCACATGCAAGCAAAATCCTGAAGATTATCCAAAAATGGCTGATATAGTACATTGACAAAGAACTACCAGAAGTGCAAGCTGGGTTTAGAAGTCATGGCACTAGGGACATTGTAGCCAATGTCAGATGGATCTTGGCAGAAAGCAGAGAGTACCAGAGAAATGTCTATGTGTGTTTCATTGACTATGCAATGGCATTTGACTATGTGGATCACAACATATTGTGGCTAACATTGAGAAGAATGGGAATCCCAAAACACTTGATTGTGCTCATGCAAAACCTATACTCAGACAAGAAAGCAGTCCTTAGAACAAAGCAAGAAAACACTGCAAGGTTCAAAGTCAGGAAAGGAGTGCATCAGGGATGCATTTTGTCTCCTTTCCTTTTCAATCTGAATGCAAAACAGTTCATTTCGGAGGCAAGACTTTATGAGGAGGAATGTGGCATCAGATTGGAGGAAGATTCAGCAACAACCTGAGGAATGCAGCTGGCACGATCCGAAGAGGACCTGAAGGGTTTGCTGCAGAAGGTCAAGGATAACAGGAAAAACCTGCACATGATACCTGACCAAAGAGGATCCTAAAACAGGGGTTCTCTTTTAATGTGTGTGCTGAGAGAGAATAAAATAGTTAACACATGCCTACCTGAACTCTAGACTCCGGAATGCCAATTTCTTTGGCGAGTTCTTCTCTGCTAGTTATACCAGGGTAGGGATTCTGCTCAAAGGCTGCTTGTAAAACATCTATTTGACTTGGCTTCAAAACCATCCTTTTTCGTCGGCTTTGTTTTTTTTGTAAGCCTTTTGGGGGGGGGGGGGGAAGACAAAAAGAGTTGAAAGACTAGTGTCTTAGCTACCTAGTCTGCTAAAACAGACATATAACTGCAATCCCAGAGATGAACAGTTCTAATCCACCCAATGTTCTGCTAGAGAAGGCGGGACAACCTCAGATAGATCCAATTTGACGGTACACGTGCTCACGCACGCATGTGCGCGCGCGCACCGACAGGTAATAAGTGGGTGACTTTAGCAAACAGACATTTATCCTCTCTCGGTATAGAAGGCTAGAACTCTGAACTCAGGGTGCTAGCTTCAGGGATGGATTTCTCTGTCAGTTCTGGTGGAAAGTTTCTATCAGCAAACTGCTCCGGGTTGAAGAGGTCCCCAGCACAGGGCCCCTGGGTCCAAAGGATGAACTTTACTTCTGGTTCTCTTTTCTTGATTGTAGGAGTCCCCCTCTCTCTGCTCAACTGTCCCCACTTTTTCTCTCTCATGGAGAAAAGGTAATGCAGGCTACATCCCAAGGAAACACCTCTTATATCTGATCAGGGCTGTGACCTGCACAAAGGTGTTTTATCTTACCCTGACTCCCTTACAACTGATTGATCACATAGATCACATCTTCACATCTGCCTGTTACATCATCCCTTAACTGCCACATGACATCATCCCGTAACTGCTAAATCACTGAGAACTGTGGCCCAATAATGCAGACATATCTTTTGAGAGGCCATAATTCAACTGGTGACAAATCAGTTATTGATCAAAAACGGTAGTCCATGTAAAATATGCCTCCCATTCTTTCCAAAATCTAAGTTTCTCAGTTAGATGCAGACTTTATGCCTTCACTTTAGGTGGAGACCTAATGCCACCAAAAGTGTGACATAATTCAGTGTGAGCCGGGTATGAGAAGTGAGGGCCATCAATGGCTTAAGCACGCAGACCAAGAATTTACAGATATGCTACGAACGTCAAGTCAAACAGTATAGGTACTAACAGAACTAAGGAAACTGTAAGGGGAAAAAATGTTTTACATTAAAAAGAAGACGCAGCATTTGCTGGTCCTGTAGAATTAAGGACCTATTTCATGAAAAAGAGAGAAAATTGGTATTTCAAAAACACATTTCTCTATGTTGACTACTCACATCTTCAGGAGGGAAGACTTTCACACATGAGTAAACCAGAATAGTATTTATCCAGGATCTTGATACAAAGTGTTCCACCAAAGAGAGAAGTAGACAAACCTTGCCACATTACACACATTTATCACATCTCTGTCTCCTATGAGTTTGAGGACCACTAGGACTTGAAGTTCAATTTGAAATTGGAGAATTTCCCACATTTTGCACATTCCATTTCTCTCTAGGATGATTTTTAAAATGTACTCTGAGGAATAACAAATGTGTTCTTCCATTCTCTAACTTCTGTAAGGTCTGTCAGTGAAATTATCTATGTTGAGTAAAAATTGAACACTGATTTATGTTTGCCAACAATCCTTACTTAAGACTAATCTCTAATAAGAGTTTTTCTTTTTAATGAGGCCTGAAGAAAGATGAAAGGCTTTGCCATCCTAAATTCCTACATTTAGGAATACCTACAACCCTAAGTCTAAATTTCTTACATTTATAAGGTTTTCTCCACTGTGAAATCTTAGATGTACAGTGAAACCCAAGGAGTGACTAAAAAGACTTTGCCACATTCCTTATGTGCAAAAGACCTTTCACCACTGTGAATTCTTATATGTGTTGTGAGGTCTGACAAGACATGACTAAAGGCTTTTCCACAATCCTTATGTGCTTAAGGCCTCTCATTATTATGATTTCTCATATGGATACTGACACCTGAATTCTGAGTAATGGTTTTGCCACATGCTTTATATTCATAAGACCTCTCTCAACTATGACTTCTCAAAATGTTTAGTGAATTCTGAAAAGTAAACTCTTTTTTACATTAAGGTCTCTCACCAGTGTGAGTTCTCCTATGTGAAACGAAATGGAACGACTTACTAAAGGCTTTGCCACATTTCCTACATTCATATGGCCTCTGTCTTCTGTGCATTCTTACAGGTATAGTGAGTTCTAACTAAAGGCCTTGCAACATTCCTTATATTCCTACGGTCTCTCTCCTCTGCGAATTCTCACATGTCTACTGAAGTGTGAGGAGTAACTAAAAGCTTGACCAAGACGTTACATACATAAGGCCTCCCTCCAGTGAATCCTCATGTCAACTGATGTGCGAGGCATAACTAAAGGCTTTCCTGCATGCCTGTTTCTTCAAAGGACCCTCTCTATTGCTATTTCTTAAATGTGTAATGAGATATGAGGACTGCAATAAAGGCTTTATTCCATCCTTCACAAGGCTTCTCTACAGTAAGACTTGCCCCAGCAGCGCTTATGTAATAAGGACAAGCACAGGCTTCTCCATATTCCTTACACTGATAGCCACTGTATCCAGAGCGAGGTCTGTTGTGATGCTTTAGTGATGAATGGTCCACGAAGGGCTTCCCACACTGAAGGTATTCAGAGGCATATGGTTGTATAGGAGTCCTTTTGAAGACAGGATCATTTGGACTCCAGCTGAAAGTCTGCTCAGACTGGTGAACTTCACTTCTTTCAAAGAGATTCTCCATCATATGCTTTCTGCTAAAAATAGGTAAATAGAAGTAATTCTGTTACCATTTCAGCATTACCCAACACAGTAAATACGTGGCTTGGCTTCTAGTTTTTTAAATTGTAAACTCACCTGGCTGAGTTGTTATCATTACCATCAGTGTATTACTGAAATACAGAACATTCTAATAATTAGGGCCCACTGAAAAGGGGGTTAAATATTCAATACATAACTTAAATTTATGAAAATATTTTACTGTGAAAGTTCCATAAACACGTAATAGTGCATCTGGACACATGTAAAATACTTGATTGGGTAGCTTAAAGCTACCCACCAGCACAGACACATGTCAGAATAGGTCAGATACATATACAACACACACAGAGACACAAAGACATGCATGGCTAAAGCTCACCGACGGTACCTTCTTTGAAGCAGGAGTTAATAATTTGACTGTGTGAGAACTGAATCATATATAGGCAGTCTGTGGGTTACAAATATCTGACTTATGTCCAACCTGTAGTTGTGAACCAACTTGCCAAAAACTTGTATGAGAAATATGAGTAACATGCAATGGCTGTGAAAACAAAATGGTGCTACTTTGCATAATACATTCAACACTATTTAAAAAGATCTCACTGCCACCAAGTTGAAAGGGAGCTAAAGCTGACCCTCCAGCAAGTTTATGAGGCTGTGAATTGCCTGGGAAGAGTCTATCTTATTCCCATGGAGTGGTTGATGAATTCAAACCAACAGAGAGGGGTGGCTTTTGGGTTTAGTCAAATTCCCTATGGACTGTGCCTCCAGAATTTCCTAAAACACTGTAACGGCTGTACTGGTAAAGATAGTTTAGTGTATCTCCAAGTGTTTACTGATTTCTAAGCCTACACAAAAAGATTCATCATATACTGTATATTAGGACAAGCATTTGGCTAACTGATGTGAGATACGTATTAACTTAAGTAGTCTGGTTTATATACAAAATTGATATTCATAGACAGACTTTTAAAGGAAATAAATTACTTTGTAATCTTGAGGCTGCCTATTCTAGGCAAGTTCAGTCCTACTCAGAGTGACCCATGTGACAGGGAAGAAGTGCCTTCAGCGCTTCCTTGGCTATAATTACTGTAGGAACAGACTGCTATGTATTTCTCCCACATGGTCCTCAGTGTTGCTGGAATTGTCAGTCTTTGGATTAGGTGCTAAGCCATTTGTACCGTCTTACCATCTGACAAGTCCTTACACATAGGAATATTTGTACCACGTTTTTAACTTTCCTCGAGCACTGCTCACCTTCCATGTTTGTTCTCATTGTTGGCTTGATCATCAATGTCATGTAATTGGCAAATATCTCCTGATGAGAAGGACCAGGTCTCACTCTTCACCAACTGTACTACATGTTGTTCACTGGATGACTTTTCTTCATCATCAATGTTTCTAGAGACTGATAAAATGGTTTAAAGTCTTTAAATGTTTTGTTTTTCACAAAATGAAACAAAAAGGAAATTAATTACTACAAAGGAAGAGGTAGTCAAAAGCAAAGAACAACTTTGACCAATTTCACAGTTTCAATACTTTGGCAATGATCAGAAAACAGTTTATAAGGAAATATTTCCATAAAGATTAAGTGTGATGGTGACATAAACAGGATGTAATTAGAAGAGCAAGTCAGTAAAGTTCTGGCCAAAATGCACATGTAACATTAAAAGAGAAAAAAGGGACACTTTTTCCAGAGGCATTGTAAGATTAATCGTATTGAAGTGGGAGGGGCAGCTCAGGTGTAATCCTCTTAATCTGAAAGTGCCATTTTCTACCTGGCTTGTTAAATGGCACACTGTCAGAGTGGGCTGGGATCTCAAATACTTGCTTTCCTTCTGCTCCCAGATCCAGTGGCCCTTGAAGAGAGTGCTCTCTGCACTCTCCCCAGGGCTTTTTCTAGCTATTGAGGGATTAAAAATGGGTGCAGCTGACCTGGTGCTCAACTTGAAGATCTCAGGGAAGAACAACTGAGCCAATAATTCTGTCTTCAAGATGGATAGGTGTCAATTTATTTGCAGCAATACATTACTGTCAAGCTTGTAATAGAAACAGTTAAGACTCTTAGCAAGGTCCCAATCAAAGAGCTTTTCTCTGTGACTCAAGCACTCACAGCTGCAGCATTTAAAGTCCTGACATGTTCTTAGATACAATTGAAGTAAAAATTCAAGTTAATAGAGCTCTGGGTCATGAAGGAAGGTTTATGCAAACCCCATGGAATAGATGACCTAATTTCTCTTATTTAATAAGGTATTTCCATTCCTTGATCAAATATCAGAGTAGTATCTGTGAATAGGACACATATGTTCACTTAAGAGTAAAAAGGAAAATAATGCCATCCTTACCGACTGAGGCCAGGTTTCTTAAAGTTTCCACCATCACATCTCTGTAGAGCTTCCTCTGATCATGATCTAGTAAGGCCCATTCTTCCTGTGTGAAGACCACAGCCACATCTGCGAAGGCCACTGAGTCCTAAAAAAAAATCCCACATATTTTGGCTTAGGAAGATACATTTATTGCAATGTGTGCTGAAGTGTCAAAAGTTTATTAATCAAGGGAGCTCTGGTGGCCTAGTGGCAAAAAGCTGTACTGCAATCCCAGAGGCGCACAGTTCGAATCCACCAGATGCTCTGCCAGAGAAGGAGGGGCAATCTCCTCCTGTACCAGTCAGATCAGATTTGAAGGTACACACAACACACACACAATGTAATAAAATAAAAATTAAGAAAAAAAAGTTTATTACTCAAAATAATACTGGCTTTCTTAGCCATTGACTTTGACTTAGCTATATGGCTGGGCAGGATTCTACAAATAAGGTGTGTTAGTCTATCCACAAGGAGATTAGCTAGTCTTGTCATCCCTTTAGATTTGAACTGAGCAAGTTCAGTGGCAAATATTTGGGAATCTCCATGCCAGTAAGGAAGAGAAAGCAGGAAGTGTAGTGCACATCTTTCAGGGCCAGAGATTTCTGCCTCAGTCAGACCAGGATCTACATGAGAGGAACAGCAGCCTCAATAGAGAATCAGAGACCAACATGAGACAAGACTTTATTTAGGAGTGCTGTCCCAGAGACTTAGAGCCAGAGGGCTTCCCCCATGCTTGCTAGAGGTATGAGGGAAGATATCATAACTGAGAAGGCGAAGGAAATTAACTTTGTGACACTGACCGCAGCCATGAGGCTGAAGCTGAAGGCCAGGGGGCCTACGACCATGTTTAGGAAACCGAAGGCACTATTTATCTGGGATTATATCTGCCTGCCAACCTGAATTAGAGCCTAATAAGCATTATAATGGTGAAATGGATTTCAGACCAAGTAGAGCAGAAGTGGGGTTAGAATAAGTGTAAGTAGTATAGGAGCATGGGAGATAATACCTGACCTTACAGTTCCTATTTCTGGAGTTAGTAAAAATTAGACCCAGCCATCTCCATGCTGCCCACACTCATTTCACATATTTTACATATGTGAAGGAAATGGCAAGACTAATCTCCTGAGGGACTAAGAACCAATGGGGACTTGACTCATTCATTTTTCTCATTGATTCATCCTATCTCATCGACTTAATGATACTGTAACAATTTCATCTTACTTGGAGTCACAATCAATATACTTGGTACCAGCAGTCATGAAGTCAGGAGACATATTTCAGTGGGAAAATTTGCAGTAAGGGACCTCTCCAAATTATTGAAGAGCAATAATGTCATTTAGAGGTCTAAGGTGTGCTTGATTCAGGCCATGGTCTTTCCAAACACTTGCTATAAATCTGACAGCTGGACAATGAATAAGGATGACCGGAGAAGAAATGAAGCCTTTGAGCTGCGGTGTGGGGGGAGAGTATTGAATATTCCATGGACTGTCAAAAGAATAAACAAGTCTGCCTTGGAGAAAATGTAAGCAGGTGCCCCTTAGAGGCAAAGGTAATGAGCTTCATCTCCCATACTTTTGGCAATCTGTTAGGTGGGGCCGGTCCAATGTAAGGAGAGAATCCCTGGTATGTAACACTTCTTATCATACAAGAGATAAAGGGAGACAAAGAAGTGACCAGAAAGAGAGAGAAAAAACAAACAAAAACAAACCAACCTAACACCACCAGTAAAGAAGAGAAAGGAGTGAAAAGCATCTTTTAGACTCAGATGCCTGCATGAAGAATACTCTCGACACAGGGGAACATGAAGACATTTGGAGATCTTCAAGGAAACCCGGCCCCACAGATGTTAAAAGGACACAAAGATTTTCCTCTATAGTTAACAGAGACAGAAAGCCTTTTCCCAGAGCTGACATCTAAATATGGACTTTTATTTTACTCTTTGAGAAAAGAAATTTGTTTGTTAAAAGCCATTCATCTGTGGTACTGTAGTTATTCTTTAATGAAGTATCACTCACTTGTGGTACTTCAGTTATTGTTAAGGCCACTTACTTTTGGTACTTGTGGTACAGTCAGTGGCACCAGACAGCTAAGAGGGAGCTCTAGTGGCATCGTCTGTACTGTAGGGAGTTAAGTCTACTAATTCAAAGGTCCCATCTCTGTGGAAGTTTGAAACCGCTATCACTAGGGTCTCCCTCCAAAGGAGAAGTACTTCCTATATAAAAATAAACTATAGGTAGATCAGCTTTAATAATGAGAATGCAAAAATGGAATACTTTGAAAAGGTATAAGCAAATGATCTTATAATATCAGAATAGAAAACTTCTTAATCAAGAAGGCTAAAGCATAAATGCTAACAAATTCAACTTCATTAAAATTCACAATTCAGAAAAGGGCAGTAGAAATGAGTGAGAAGGTAAGATATATACCAGGGAAGCATTTACAGAGTTTAAAATGCAGGACCTCAAAGTGTTTCCTTGTCCTGTTCTAAGGACTGCTTCTTGGTCCAAGTATAGGTTTCGTATAAGCACAATCAAGTGCTCTGAGATTTCTATTTGTTCTGAGATTTCTATTTTCCTCAAGGTTAGCCAGCAATAATAACTGTAAAAATTATAAACTTCTATAGTAAGACAATAACCTACAGGCAGGAAAGAGATATGTTCCAAATCGATAAAAGCGTTACTAAACCAACAAAAAGAAGCAAAAATAGAAAACCAGCTTCAATGAAGCCTAGCAGAGTAGCACATACACCAGAGTCACTCACCTCTAAGCTCCACTGAAGAAAAAAAAAATAAATCTACATTTCCCCAAATTCTCCAGGTTATTCACACTGTCTACACTGAAGACCAAGTACCTCTTCATTGTCATTCCAAGGAGTTCCTGATGCACAACCATACTCTGCTGCGGTTGAAATGTGCCTCCATTGAGCTGGACCCTCTAGCAGCTTTTTAGAAGTTATAAATTTCATGGAAGGAAAGTGCTCATCTTTCTCTTATACAGCAGCTGGTGGATTTGGACCATGTGCCTTTAGGTTGGCAGAACAACTCCTTACCACTAAGCCACTACCCTCCGTGCTAGGCCTCCTCAAAGTCTTCTTTATCTTGCTCATTACAAGATCCTGCTTGCAGTCTTTACTCCTTCATAGCTGTCATTTCAAAATTCTATTTGCTACACATGAACTAGAACGGTCTGCTTGGAATTGCAAATATACTCATCCAACTTAATGTCCATCAGTGGCTGTCCATCAGCATTCAAAAAGCTGGCTCAAATCGGGTGCTGTGCCGAGGTCCAGCAAAGCAACTCTGCTTGAACTTACTGAAGCATGTTTGCTATTCTTGCTTCTTTTTCTGTTGGTTGTTAAAGAACTTCCTCAGAGGTCTGTTTCCACTGTCACCTTCTCACCAGTGGAAACTGGTCCAGAGTGTGCTTCCAAACTGTGAGTAGTGTTACAAGGGTGCCATCTACTGGCCATATCTTGTTAAGTGTGTTCACACTGTTTTCTGCTGGCCAGCTGAGAGCTTAACACGTTCCCGGACACTTTTTAAATTGGCAACCGTGCTTGGAAACAGATGTGCCGTCATGTACCGCAATGTGTTAAACAACTGTTTATTGAGGTGTTTTTCCAGGTCATGCAAGCAACAAGAGCAAACGTCAGATAAGCTTTTGTCAAACCCTGGAAGTACTAAGGTCTCCAGTGTGTTTTTTTGAACACTTGATCTTTTGTCTCCAGTTTGTGTACATGATTCTCACTGTATGAGAGTCTAAAATCAGAAGTACCTGATGAATGTACAAATAAGGCTATTCAAAACAGGAGTCTTAACTCCACTCCTAAAGTCTTGACATAAGGCTGGAATCCATGTCAGAGTTTTAAAAAGCTGCCTTTTCAGACAGCAGTTCCTTTAACCTTGGTGCTTAGTCCATGCACTCTTTCTGGTTCAACATCCCTCTTCTCTGAGGGCTGTCCTGTGCAGGGTATCTAATTTATTCCCAAAAGGTCTTTGCCATTATTGAGAAAGAGATGTGAAGTGTTTAGAGATTACTGATAAATCTTTACAAATAAATTTCCAGCAACACACGTGGTTGAGGTGGTGATTGTTGTTATTTGCCACTGAGCTGGAAATGACCCACAGCTGATCCTTCAGTGGGTTTTCAGAGGCAGTTACAAAGGAGGAGACTACCTATCCTCCTGTGCAGCAGCTGGTGGATTTGAACTTCCTGTCTTCAAGATGGCAGCACAGATTCTTATGGCTAGGCTGCTAGAGCTTGTTATTGTTGTTATTAGGTGTTGTCAAAACCAGTATGAATGATGAACAAGGCATCCTCACCATCTCTGACACAGTTAAACCCTGACACAAATGAAGACAGGCTACCTGAAAACCTGTCCTGTCCACAGTAACCTGAATGGCATATTCCTCTGATCAGTCATGTAATCCCATGCATGTGTTACAGACGCATCACTGTCAAATTCTGCTTTCAGATCCCCCCTTTAACTCTCCGATGGCCTTTCAGCCAGTCATGACCTTTAGTCCCTGACCCAACAATAAAGATGTGTCCTATCCCCAGCGCAAACCCTCTGTCCCCTCAATAAACTTCATTTGCTTGTACTGAAAGATTCTGTGATGTTGCTCTAAACAGGCATCATTTTGGCAGAAAGAGTATGTTGAGACCTTTCCTCTTTTTATTTCTCTAAGGGTGCGTTTTGGTTCAGTACTTGATGGTTGGCATATGCTGTTACTTTGAAAAAGGGACTACAGTGAATTCCCTTATATAACCTCTACTTTATATATGTATGTGTGTGTGTGTATGTATAGTCAGAAACTATGGTACATACTCCATGTGACCTATGAATGATAACTCTACAAACACCTGAAAACGAGGGTGAGACCAGCAAATCCTGGACCTGGACCTGTGTATCCAGTACAACTGTGGAGACCCTTCTATTCAGTGGTGTCTAAAACGCAACTCATTTGACTGTTGGCCATTCTGAAGTGCTTCAGAGCTGGCTGCCCTCTCACATGCCAGAGTTTCTGGGGACTGACAATCACACAGGAGCCAACTGCTCATCTCCGCCGTCACAAATGCCAGTGCCTTCACACCATCAGAGAGGTGTCACCTTTGGGTTAGCAATACATCTCCCTGGGGACCCATTAGTGCTCCCCAAGTTGAACACAGATCCCTACAAAGTAACCCAGTTCCACAGCAGCAAAGCCAACCTAGCCACTCCTAGTCCAGCTAAGTCTGAACTCAGAGGATAAATTCTTAGCCAACCACACACATACTGCCTCTAAAGAGAGAGAATATGGAGTATGGTTCATTTATCCTTTTAAAGAATTCTGGAGCATCTGTTCCATGCCAGGTCCCTAGGAACGATGCAACTCATGATCAACATCAAAGCATTAAGTACCTGGAACAATTTCTGCCGCCAAATCTATGAATTCACCTTCACTGGCTGACCTGCCAGGTATGCACAGCCTTGCTCAACAACTTTCACTCACAGTAAGTTCCAGTCTGACCAGAGGCCATCATCCTATGCTCCAGCTATAACTATCAAATCACAGCTGCACATGCTTTCCTTTATATGCTTCCACCTGAAATATTCCCTACTTCCTAATCCCCAAATGCTCCCCCACTCCAATTATCTTCTAGAACTGGAGAGGAGTCACCTCCCCAGGAGCCATACAAGCCAGGGCCTCATTATGTGGCGTGGGCACCTCCCCTCTCTTTCCCCGGACCTTTTTGGTACCCACACAGCATTGTAATGAGGAGAGTCACGGAGAGATTCTGGGGGTAGCTGTCAAGGTTCTGCCCCAGCACCTCCAGAGGCTGGGTGCCCTCACCCGTGACAGGA